CTGGCTGGGGGCACTTAGAAAGGTTTGAAGATAAACATGTAATATCACATTCCACAGTGTTGCAACCCACCTGGTGAATTTTTCTACAAATACAAATTCAGCAGTCAGCCTCAGTCTTGTCTCTCCCCCTTTCCATCGAGCAGACACCTTACCTCAAAGAATAATTATTGCTGTGGTGATTTCTAAATTACTGGATCCATGGAGCCTACTTAACCTGATGTAAAAGGTCCTTTTTTCTTCCCCACTTTCCTCATTACTGAAGGAGAACATTTTGGCCTGAACAATGGCTGTATACATCAGCCCTGATTTATTAAGTTTAGAGGATTTGCACTGTTGTTTTACAAAATGGTGTCAACTTGCAGCATGACTCTATTTGATGATGAATAGTTTTCCCAGGCCAAAGAGCTAATGACATCCAGAGCTTCTGCGCCTCCCGCACTCCTGCGGCCCGAAAGGCCACGGATAATTTCAGCCGAATCAAGCCCATAAAGAGAGAATTTATAATCAGCTTTAATGTATTTGGGAGCTAAAGTACCTTAGTCCTTCATCAAAGGGAATGATAAAAACCAGAATTAATATGGCTGGATTTAATTATTTCTGAGAGCGTAATTACTCTTTAGCTAACTGGACAGGAGGTGTGTTATTTCTCTTACTTTGAGCAGAGGAAAGGCTTCTACAAGTCACCACCAGCATCTAAAAATGCATCATGTTAGTGCCTTAGCATTGATTGCAATACAAACAGAATAAATATTTGAATAATAATTTAAATAATGCAAGAACTATTTTTAAATTAAACGAGCTTAGGCTTCGTTAGGAGTGCCTGCTGCTCACAGAGTTTCTTCAGCTTTTGTAGCGAGACTGTTCCTTGCCTTTAGGAAACATAAAATGCAGTAATCACTTTCCCCCCTTTTTAAAGTGACTTAGGGGTCTAATTTTCCATTAGCATTAATGAGAGTTATGGGTATGCACCAACATGAGAATAAATGAAGCTAAACCTTAGAGAGCCTTTTGATAAGTAAATCATCTTTGCATCAGCATTTTAGAGGCTTTAGTATCCTCTTTTCCCCCCATTAGTTATGGTACCTGATTACTTTGTTGATATTTAATATTTATTACATAAACTTTAGCTAAAATTTAGGCTGGTATAGTAAGGCAGCATTATCTGTTTGAAGGCTTGTGAGTTAAACATATTAAAATCTTTTTTTTTTTATAATGGATGCATATTTTTGAAAGTGAAATACTCAAAAAGTAAAATTAACTGGGCCTTCACAAAAGGTGAAGAGAAGGCTAGAGTAGAACAACAGTGAAAAGTAACTGAGGACAAAAGACTCCTGGCAATCATAGTTTTGTAAACTATTCCTTTTTGTTTTACTGGCTCATAGTCCATTATGTCTTAGTATCACTATTCTTAAAATTACTTTCTGTTACCTGAAAAGAATATTAAAATTCTGGAAGAACCATAAAATATCATGTATTGAATGAACAATCAATGCTAAGAAATAAACCTAGTTGGGGGATACATTTAATTTACAAAATCATAAGCTATCTGTAGAATATTAATTGAAAGCTGCAGGAAATATCTAAAAATTATACACCTACTAAGCAAATTTAGTTCTGATTTATTTTTACTTAAAAAGGCTATTGCTGCTACATTTTGTAGGTTCTTGCCATAAGATTTTATTCTATTTATCTGCTTGTTATTTCAGAGTGTTTTCCTGTGTGTGGACCCAAAACATCAATCTTTCTTTATGATCATCCAGACAGAGAGGTTGTTAGTCAGAGCAATCAGTTATCTGGAGAATCAGAAGCAAAAGCCATTTCTTACTGATTTTAGAATGAGAGTTACTGCTGAAAAGGGTGGAATTCTAATCCAGAGCTTCTCTTAATACCACTTTCACGACTTCAGAAAATGTCTTCAGCATCTGAACGTGGAGCAGGCAGCACAGATCATAACAGGGCTCTGCCTCCTCCCAGAGTTCTCCAGGCTGAACCTCTTGATTTTGCCCTTTCAGACAGCCCTGTGCACAGTGAGTCTTGAGCTGATGCCTCTTTTAGGGATTGCCCAGCAAATAAAAAAAAATATAAATTAATGTTCATAGCAGCTCTTTGTGTTTAGATAAAATATGAGGAGATTCATACCTGCCACGTGAGGGCCAAACTCTGCTTTGGTTCCTTAGGTTCAGAGCATTATAGTTCCAGGAAGCAGAAAACCTCTCTGAAGATGCAATAGATTATATTTGCAGACCAGAGTGAACCTGTGGGAGAAATAATCTCTCATCTGTTTCCCAGGCACTGTGAGTGGTGCCTGGTGGCTCTGCCACGTGTCTCCACAGGGATGAGTCCTCCCGCTCGGGGGATGTGGGGAGCAGAGCCCTTGGATTGTGAAACAGATCCATGGCTATATTAAAAAACATGTTTAATTTATGACAACTTAAAAATAGGTCAGCCCCTTTGCAAAAAGGAATTGTCAAGCACTGGAACAGGCTGCCCAGGGAAGTGGTTGAGTCACCATCCCTGGAGGTATTTAAAAGATGTGTGTGTGGCTCCTGGGGACGTGGCTTGGTGGCTGCCTTGGCAGCGCTGGGTTAATGCCTGAGCTGAATCTTTGGGTTCTTTTCCACCCTTAACAATTCTATGATTTTAAGGAAGGTGGTCTAATTTTTTTTTTTAAAATGTTTTTCAGAGAACCTCAGAACTGCATAAACATGAAAATTATCCAGGTCATTTTTAAAGCTAGCCCCAGTCATGCTTTACCATATTATAAAATCAAAAATGGCATGAGACCAGACATTTACATTGGGATGGTTGATGCACTTTGTAATTGAAGTTGAGATCTGGAACCATGATCTACACAAAATACCTGATAAAGGCCAGCTCTTAAAAAAAAATGTAACATACACTGTCTTGTTTTCATCTAGAAAATAAATTGCCCATCTCTATGCAAGTTATTTGGAGCAATGTGTGTTGGTTGCCTTTTCAGATGTCACTTTGTCCCTTTCTGGTGACTTTTAAAATTCAAAATATAAGAAGATACTAAGAACTTGTGTGTGTCTGTGTATATATAAATATATATCCTTGCCTGTGTCTGCATCTCCATTCTTAAGTGCACAGCTCTTACCATTCTTAAATTTACCCTTCCTGCTCTCTATGCTGAAAACACATAGTGAAATTATTGTCATTCTTTGCATAGAGTTTTTATTTTTCTGATTTTAATCTTTTGGAAGTAAAGTTGTTGTGGTATGAAAATGCTGGGCAGAGAGATATTTGAATGTGTGTGTTTGGATCAGGGCATATTATCCAGGTACCAAATATTGCAAAGATTATATCCAGGGCTTGGATATAATATAACCTGAATCACCAAGGCTTTCAGCTGAAGAGAATGATTGTTACAGGTGTGATTATAAAAATGCTTGTGTTTTATTTATGATGTGTAATTCTAGTGTTCTGTATTTAGAATGAGTTAAAAACTATACTCCTGACTGATGCAGGAATTAAGGTATTGAGCTTTGGCTTTCAATAATACAGTCCAGTTTCTGCATTCACAGTTAAAGTCTCATGGTACTTCATGGTTTTTTTTCTGTTTCTTAAACCCATGCACCTGGTAAAAACATTTTATGATTTTTTTAAAAAATGCATCACTCAAATACATGGTATTTTGCCTATAAAAGACAAGTTTAATGCTGAATGACTAATATCCTGTAAAATAACAGAGAGCTTTTTAAATACAAATGTTTTAATACACCACAGTGCTTAGATTTAATGCATGTCTCTTGCCTACATCAACTGCAAATATCAACACATACTGTTCATCCCTTTTTTTGTTGTTGTTTTTGTCTATTGCTATTTTATGCATGAGGAATTTCTTGTTTTCTACTCTGTGCTTGGCTGGCTTTTTCTTTTTTTGTTACTTAGCCCTGTGTTTCTACTGATTGCTTTTTCGCATGCAAATTACAGAATGTCATGGAAATGAGAGAGCTCTGAAAAAAAAGGAAAGATAATGCTGAGTTCCAACTGTCTTTTGTTTGTGCGTAAGTGTGTAAAATATATGACTTGGAAATATTTTCAGAACGGCCTTTGACTTTCCTTCTGGTGTATATTTTTATTTCTCAATAAAGAAGTGGGCATTTTTCCCATTGGAAAACATGATAAATCTATAAATACTTGTTAATAATACAGGTGTTGGGCATAAAGGAATTTTGTCTCATCATCCTTTTATGGAGATAAGGAATTATGAACCTGGATGTTTTGCCCGAGCTAAAATTTCAATTCAATACAACTTTTTGCATGAAACTCTGGCCCCATTGAAATCAATGGCAAAAGTCATTGTCTTCAGTTGGTCTGGGATTTCACTCTTGCTTCTGGTTTGCATATGGATTTTCATGTTTCTTTACAAATATCTCAGCAGGTAGTCAAAGGTTTCAAGGATATCTACAGTACTATTTAAAAGAGAATGTGATGAATGTGTCAAAAAACCCCAAAATTAAACCTGTCCTTATCTTTATACAAAGCATGAGCTTAAATGGTCGAATTCAGATAAATGAATTAGCATTTGACAGAAAATATCATTTTAACCAACTGTCAAGACTTTTATTAACCACCTTATTGCATCAAGTGCAAGAGGTAATTTGGCAGTTCTTGTCTCCACTATTCCTAATAACAGCAACAGGAAAAAACAATTAAATGAAGTGGATAACTACGGTCTATGGCGGGGTATGCTTTTAGTAAACAAACTTTGATTCTTCATTTAAAAATCATAAAACACTGGGCACTCTGTGCTTCTTGTGCTAGATGTTTCTAATAGCCATACCCCCGAGGGAAGGTTTTGCTGTAATGTTTGAAAAACTTAATGAAAAATGGGTTGTTATAAACTAAGATTTCCCTCCCTGAAAATGTTTTTCTTGAGACGTCCGTGGGAATTTAATATTCACTGTTTTTTTTCCTCAGTCTTGTATATTCTTGAATTGTCTTTTTTCCTCCATTTTCTCCGTTCTTAATCCTAGGTCCCCTTACAAAGAAACAGACAGATGATTTAGGTGATAATGACGGTGCTGAAGATGAAGGTATTTTTTGCCGCCAAACTGATTTGCATGACAAGGATCCCTGAAAATCTTTTTTCTCCCCTCTTTTTTTGACTTCTTGTCTTCTTTTGAAGAGTTTTTTTGTTTTTTTAATTCCCATTTTTGATGTGTTTTGTCTTCTTGCTTGTTGTTATACATATATATTTTTAATTTTTTAAAAGAAAGAATGTTGTTAAGTTCTACGTTTTGATACAAAACAGTAACAATATTTAAAAAGGAGGGTTTTTGTTTTCTTGAAATGGACTTTTGATATGTTGCATCCCACCTTTTGACTGAATTTTGTCCATACTATTTAAACTAACACTCTTTTAAAGTTTCTCTGTACACCTTTTTGCATGTTTTCTAACCCTATGTATTTCACCAAGTACAAAGATGTTTCTTTTTTTTTTTTTTTCACTGACTGATCTCAGTTTGATAAACATAGAAAATACTGTGTTTATAAAAGGAAAAAAAAATCAGAAAATTCTTTAAAAGTGTCTCTTAAGCAACAGAACTTCTCCAAATGCCAACCCATCTGCATTTAGGCTGCAAAAAAAAAAAAAAAGAAAAAATATTAATATTAAAGGCTACCCCACCTCCCTCCAGAAGGGAGGCAGCATTGCCTGTTGGTGAAGCTCTGTGGAGCTAAACTAAAACTAAAAAAACCTGGTCTTTTCTGTTTTCTGCAAGCATACAAAGATGCTGATCTACTTGAGCTGACCCTTAGAAAACCCTATTACCAAGTAAAATCAACAGTTTGAAATGTCAAGCATATTATTCTGTTCATAAATTATGTCTGTTGATCATGAAGATATGCAGATTTGATATTTTTTCAGGGCTATGAAAATGGTAACAAGGGGCTCTTTTCCTGAGCAGTCTCATCCCTTCAAGTAGATGTGCTTCAGAGTTCTGAATCTCAAACACACACTTGGTATGGTTTATGGTCAATGAGTAAAACAAATTACCATATAGGACTGGTAGAGTTGCTGCTTGCTTCTCTCCTAATATTTGGGGTGGTAGGGAGAGGTTGGCCAGATAATACGATGAAACTTCACTTGTAGACTGAAAGGCTCTTTACTAAGAATTTTTTTCATCACAGATAACATCAACTACTTAACTTAAACAGAAGCATAGAGTCTTTCCAGAAAATATTAAGGAAGGCAAATTTGAGCATTTAACTTCTTATCCAATAATTGAACACAATTTTGTCACAATTTTATGACTGATTTATGATCTTCTTCTGGATCTGTATGTTAAGCATGTGAATGAAAGCCCACCAGCTGGGCCAAAATTTGCAAGATTTGATGGTTTTGATAAACTGGAAATCTCCTTTGAAAGCTCTCTCTGTTTAGCAGGCAGCTAAACAGCACAGAGCCAGTCACTTACTCCTCCCTGGGGGAGAGAACTGGGGAAGGAAATAGAAAAGTAAAATTATTAACTGAGATAAAGACAGTTTAATATGACAGAAATGAAATTAAATAATAGCAATAATCATGATAAAACAATGAGGATATGCCTAACATGAGGTGCACAGGGCAATTGCTCATGGCCCCTGGCTAAGATGTTCAGCAGATCCTGAGCAGTGACCCCCAGCCAGCTTCCCCCAGGTTACATGCTGATCATGAGGCCACAGGATGTGGGATATCTGGAATTTCCTTTGGCCTGTTGGGCTCAGCTGTCCTGGCTCTGTCCCCTCGTAACCTCTCATGCCCCCACAGCTTACTTCGGGGGGCGTGTGAGGAGCTGAAAAGTCCTTGCCTTGGTGTGAGCACTGCTCAGCAACCACTGAATATTAACATTATTCTCACCCTGAGAGCACAAATTAACTCTGTCCCAGCTGAAATCAGGCCACACACCAATCAGAGCTAATTATGACAATTCAGATCCTCCTAGCTTTATGAAGTCAGGACATTTGTATGTGTCCATGACAGAATATTGCAAGGGACATTCTTATGAAATCTCAAAGATCTGTGATAGTGAATTAGCCATTACAAAAATGACTCTGTCTTGTTTTAACAATATGTTTTAAGAAACAATTTGAAATTTGGGCTGTTCACCCAGTGGGCCTTAATAGCTCTCCCAAATTGCTGTATAATTGCCAAGACAGATGCTAATAACATCAGGTTTGTTGAGTCCTTCTCTGCTTAGAAGAGACTCCTCAGTTTACTGAAATTCAGCAGAGAGTGGTTGCTGTCAGAAAGCGCTTTAGATGTAGGCTCAGATGAGAGGAGGGATCTCAGTCTGCTGAGAACAAGTGTCCATGTCAGAGAAAACCTGTCTCCTGCTCTGACAATTGCAGGAGAGAGAAGAAGGGCTGTAAGAACACAGCAGTCAAACTAGAGAGGAAGAAGCACATTTACAACACTAATAAATCTCTGTAATTTATAGGACTGGGATTAATTTTCTTTGGCGTACAAGTGACAGTTTTGTTCTCCTTTCTGTGCCAATAGAAGAGCGCAGGCAGTAATTAGACTTTTACTGCTTCCGAGAGGCACAGAGAGACAGGGAAAATTTAAATTTTTATGATCACTAGACACTCAAGACTGCTGGGATGTCTGCTGGGTTGATAGAAACCCTCTCTGCTGAGACCATGCATTTCCCAGTGGAGGAGCAGGATCAGATGTCCTGCATTTTTGTGAACTCCTGCATTTTTGTGAACCTGGTCTTTTGTGGAACTCTAGCACCTGTTGCACGTGCAGAACTGAAGCGTTCACAAACTTAGTCGTATGTGTTTGGGTATGAGTAGCAGGAAAGAGAGAGACCAAGCAAAAGGTCACCTTAGCTGGCTAGTTTTCTGTTAACCAGTCCTTCAAAGTCTACAATTTTGTAGTTTGGTAGATTTTAGGCAGTGTAAAATCCTTCAAACAAATAGCTGTGGAGAAAATAAAATAAATGCCAAACTGAATGAATGAAGAAAGTGAAGCATGAGGGAGAGTGGGCTGTACATGGTGCAAACAACTACTATTAGATATCCATAGAGTCCATGTTATATAAACAAGGCCCAGTGATTTCCGAAATGCCCAGGATGGTCAAAAATCCATCAAACAATCCATAGATCTCATGTTATTTATTGTATTATATCTTTCTGAAGAAAGTTTTTCCACAGCAGCTTCTTGTAGCAAACATCTGGAGAGGATTTTGTGTTGTGCCACTCAAATATCTGAGTTTGATTAGAAGATTTCCCTTTAAAACACTGTTCAATAATCCTCCTCCCATCAGCTGCTGCATGCCACTACTACAGTGTTGTGGTCCAAACCTTGCCAGGACAAGCACTGCATTCAGCAATCAAACTTGGATCTCTGGTATGTGCTGCAACCAGTAGACCAGGCTTAATTAGATCATTTTTCATTTTTGTTTTCAAAAGACCCAAAGGCAGTAGTGCACATTACCAGCTAATGATCTGCAAATTTGCCGTTGAAAAAATGAAGGTGTTTTCAAAGTCTGTGAGTGTGAAAAGTCAGAAATCATATAAATGCCTTCTTTCCCTAGTCTGGATTCATTATTCTTTCTGTTTAACCCTTTCATTCCTACACTTCTATTGCTTACCTGTTTTTAGTAAATATTGAATGACTTGAGCAGGCACCAAAAACAAGAATGGCAAAAGCATTTTCAACCAGTGAGCACTGGGGCTTTCCCTCTTTATAGCAGTGGTGGATTTGCCCATTTGCTGACCTGCAGGTATGCAATACCTAGTGTAGATGCAAGATTTACCTTCAAATTTCTCAGCAGTTACACAAAGTGTAGCATCCCCAGTCTGGAAACAAGGCTTTGTTTTAAAAAGTAAAATATTTTAATCTTATTGCCTTGTCTTAGTCTTAATTTTGGTCAGGTAATAATTTAATTTGGCAAAAAAATTAATGAATAACAAAAATCAGTGACTCTTATGCACCTTTAGTTCCTACCCACTAAAATCCTAAGCATGACCTAAAATATGACAACACAAGCCATTAACCAGCCAGTGTACTCTGGGATCAGAACTGGACTTCTAAGTAGTGAATATTGTATGAAATATCCATCAAGGATTGCTCAGAAATGAATTCTCATCCACTGCTCTATCATACACACCTTGCCTGGCGCATCAATCTGTAAATCTTAAATCCCTATTTAGTCCCCAGAGCTGTTTGAGCATCTCTCAGTTTTTAATGCATTCAGCCTCACAGCATCCCCTTGCAATACAGGAATGCTGCTATTCCATTTTTAGAAAGGAAGAGTACAGATGCTGAGTCTGAGGAAGGCAGACACCATGTCTGTTGCTGAGAGCACAAGCCTCAGAAATGGGGTCTGCACTGCAGTTGATAGATGCTTCTGCTCTTCCCTCCTGCCTTTCAATTTCTCCTGTGGAAAAGGAGACAGATTAGGAGCAGATGCTGCTGTTTGCTCACAGGCTGTAACTGTGATGATTGTGATAATTTAGTCTGGTGCTCTGTCTTGTATGGGCTATTGGACTTCATTGACAGAAGGAAGTTCTTGGTCCAGAGCATATTTTAAATCAAAAAAGTAAAAAAAAACAATTTAAATTTTAAGTTGCTAATGATGCAGAATTCATCTACAAATCCCCTGTTATGCTGAACAGACTGCAGTGCCATTGGTGTGAAGGAGCACCTCGCAGAGTTGAGGCTCTCCAAGCCCCCTATCACCCCATGGATACTAAAATACTCTGGGATGCCAAATTTGGCATTCAATCTGCCTTCAGCTGTCATGGTAAGAAAGAGGAGCAGCATCACCTCTGTCTGGCAGTGGTTGCACGTTTTTGGACTTGGGAGGTCAGCAAACAGCAGAACAGGTTTGTCTGCCCTGCAAGGCAACCACATGCTCCAGCGTTGATTACAGCCCTCAGTGAGAGCCAGCCAGGCTGGGGGAACAGATCTCACCACTTTGGTGAGCTTGTTGACTGATGCACATAGCCAAATTCATGATTCCTGCTCCTCCTGTCACCCATCCATGTTAGCTCCCTGATTTCCTCTCCAAAGTACAGCTTCTAATGCCACTTGCTCATTAAATTGTGCTGATTATATTTTCCCTTTACACACAGACACTCTGTTCAAATTGTGTCAAATTTTTGTGGTGATGTTATTAATACTTGAAAACATGCATGATAACATTCTGACAGACCTTTAATTTAAGTACCTCTTTAGGGCTTCATTTTACTTTCAGCACTGCCAAGCATTGCTTGTACAGTGAAGAGTCTGTCAGCTTTTGCAGTTCTAACCATCATCCTTCAATAATTTAAAATGACTGCTTACCTGGCTATTGAGGTCCCACTCTAATGGGAATCTGCTCCAGATGTTTACCTGTAAAAGCTTTGGCCTTTTTCATGCTAGGATAACATTCATATAGTCCTCCATCAGGATCTCAAGTAATTTTCAGGTGAAGGTAGTTAAGGGTTTGAGAGGGCACAAAATGATTCTGTGGTTTGACAGGTAGGAAAACAAACAAAGGGAGAGAATTCTATTTGTCTGAAGCCTGATGGATGCAAGCTGTATTTTAAAAGAGAAAACATATCTAAAACTCCTGACAGAAGCTCTATAGTTACTTTAATAGTCTCAGGATATCTAGTTTTATGTATAATTTTAAAAATGTGGCATTAATGGATGTTTGCATATTAGGAATAAGTGCACTAGTTTATTAAGTGGTAGTGCATCTATAAGGCATCTGATGGATTCAAACTGAAAGGTCAAATGCTGTTAAAAGGCTCTAAAATTATTAAGAGTAGCACTGATTTGTACCATGCTTTACTTAAATATTTTCTATAAAAGCTCATGGAAGAGTTACACACATATCCACATAACGTCCTATGGAGGGCACACACAGGTTTTGCACTAACCAATCTGAAAATTTTCCCCTGTTCTAGTCTTGTTTCCTGTTCAAAACCCAAGATTTACTTAACAATCTGCATCAAGCTGTCACAATTTTTTATGCCATGTAGAAAAGCAATGCTTGTGACATTGGTGCTAAACTAATTATCTTTTTCTGTGAAGTTTTCTTAAGGTAGGCTTTTTTTTTCCTTTCCCATTTTGGTTGTTCCCTGCAAATTATGCTTGTTAAGTCATGTGGCCAATTCACAGCAGTTTTGAATGACTGAAGCTATAATTATGTTTTGTTATATATGACAATTGTGACTGATATTCACAGTCAGACCTGGTTCCCTGTTGTGTAATGAAACAAACATAGAATAAAAGTCAGCCCCATTCCTAAATTGTCTGCAACGCAATTAAGATGAGACATAAAAAGTAGATGAAACAAATATTAGAAAGGTAGAGATGAGAATGAATAATAGAAATAATTACAAGAAAGTTAATGTATATGTAATATAAATAAGGTTATTCTCTGCTGTACAGTAAGATCTATTTAGATGTTTTATGAACTAGCTATTTAAAGCCAAACAAATCACAGCATTCAAAAATGATCTTATGTGCAACTGAAACCAGAAATGAATTGAATTTGAGAAGGATTTTTAACAGTGCTATCCTTGCATATGTCTTTGAAAAGATGAATGTGTCTGTTTTTAATTAAAGCAACACTTAATAAAAAGCAACAAAAATGCAGAACGCAACTAAATTAAAACAGTCTATAAATCTACCCTTGGCAGAAATGCCACATTTACACCTAAAGTCTTCAAGTTCAGAATGAGGTACAAACACAAATAACTATTAATCTGCATCCATGAATAACTATTAATCTGAATATGAAAGTGTAACTACAGTGTCCTGAGATCACTCCAGCACATGCATAAAAAGGGCTGACACCAGCCTGAAGGGAAAAAAGAAGGAAGTATCATTTATGGTCAGGTTTAGAAATGTACCTGAGTGCCAGAAATATCAATTTTTTATTTCATTGAGTTGGACACTTCAATAATCACTTTTGAAAGCTGCATCTTTCTGCCCCTTTCGTACCAATACACAAAAGTGTTCTCCTGACAGAGTGTTATCTTAATTCTTCCTCCATTTTACTTTTAAAGAATGAGAGGTTTTTTTCATGGAGGAACATTTTAAAGTGGGAATCAATTCTTGATTACAGTCTGAATTTTTTGCTCTCTTCCTTCGATCTTATCATTTAATAACCTGAGTTGCTAATAACATGTGTACTTAAACAACACTCTCCCAGCTGAATATTTGCACCTTTCAAATATTCCTGGCTGTAGACTGCAACTGATATGAAACCTCTGACCAAAATGCAGTGATCTTTATTTTTCCCATGAGGAGCTCCACAGCTTTTTATAACCCACAGCCCAAAGTGCCACCAGCCTTGCTGAATGCTGCATACCCTGGCTGATGTCCCCAGTAGAGTTCTAGATCTCTGCCCAACTCAGAGGAAGAGTTTCCCTTTTGTGTGAGGGATTCTTCTTATGACTGATGGCTTTGGCAAAGCAGCATGAGGAAAATTCATTCTGCATGTCAATTGCTCTGATATGGCACAGAGGCAGAGCTGCAAACTGGCCTTCCCTTATCTATCTGATCTGTAATCTTTACAAGGATATTAGTAGTAGAAAATAACAGTACTGTAGAGACAGAAATTACTCAAAGAATAACTTCCTTATATATGAGATTTTTATTCATGAATATGTGCTTCCTTTCTCAGATAAAGGACACTCATTCTTTTCCAAATATTCCAATATTATTTTCCAGATATACAGGCCAGTGATACCGATATTTCATTGCTGTTCACAGTTGGTGCTCTGTAATTCTATGTAATTTTAATTAAAGGAGAATTCTGAGACAGATTCCCCCTGTGTTACCATCAAGCATACAATTAACTGTGTACAATTTCTGCTGGGAACAGTCACACAGTGATTTCAGATTAATAATTTATTATTGCTTCCATATTTGTATCAAAAAAAAAAAAGGCAGCATAGACTAAGAACAAGTGTCTACTAGAAACAGTATATGAATTTGGAAAGATTCTTTCTTCAGTGTAGATTTTAAACCTGAGAAGCTCATAAATCCATCCTATAGACAGTGAAGATAAATAATCTCTCCAGCTTTACACTCTGAAAGTTGTATGTTGGAAAGCCCTCACTAAAAGCACAATCAAGGAGAGCAATACAAGCAATTTCATGCACAACCTTTCATCATTTTTTTGGTCTTGAATAAGTGATTTTTCTAGCACTTCCAATATTGAAGGTCCAATTTCGGATCTTGCCTGTTCTGGCATTTTCTTCAAATCAGAATCAATATCAAAGTAATAGTAGCAGTTGGCTTTTTATAAAGAGAAACATCTGTGCTGCTGTTTTTCAACTAATTCCAAAAGCAGGGTTTTAGTGTAGCTGCCCCCACCTATTCTTACAGTGCTTCAGAAACAATTCCAGCAGTTCTGCAGAGAGCTCCCTTGAAAGCTTCTAAACTAAGATCCTTCCAAATCAAAGGAATAAACAATACATCTGAGGTTTCTTCAAAGGCTGAAGGAAGCAATCAGAGGAGTTACTTGAATACTGTCATAATGACAAAAAAAAAGTGGTTTTGAATCAGAATGTTCAGAACAGTTCATCACTGGGAAATTTTCCTATGCTCTCTTGCTATTGGCTTTTTTTGATTTTGAGTGACTATTATGCCATATTATGATTTGGGTGGTGGAAGAGACTCAGGCACCCAGTAATTCAGAACAAAATGCAATTTAATCAGATGTAAGAGCTTAAATTTACACCTAAGCTGATTTATTTCCTGTCCAACAGAAAACACCTAACTTTTAAAAACATATCAGTCCGTACTAACTGTTTTGAATTGGTACTCAGGAACAATTCTCCTCAAGAGGAGTAACACTGTTCAAATATTCAGAATTTTATTCTGAGTAGATGCATCTGTTTGCAAATAGGACTGTTTGGGGGTGGAGGGATACCTAAATCCAAACTCAAAACACTGTGACAATATCTAATTTTTTTGTCAGAGAGAATGGCAGAGTTTCTAACATTTTAAAACTGTTCCCTGCCTTTGATGTCACTTTTGATAGTCTTGCAATTTTTTTTTTAATACAGGGTGGGGATTTTTCAGTACCGTTTCAGGCAGTTATTTTTTCAAATATTCAGACATTTAATGATTTAGGAAACTAAGAAGTATCCATGCACCTTAAACTTCAGGCTATCCTGAAGTTATCAATAATCTCAATTCAAGGACGAAGTGCTAAACAACTTTCAAGTACTTTTTGAACTCAAACTGCAGACCCATCCAAAGACAGCTGTTTTTACACCCCTTTTAAAAATTAGTGGACAGGAAGAAATCAACTCTTTTAAGTAAGAGTAGAAATTTAGTTTATCCTAATATGTTGTATTTCCTTTAGCTAAGAGAACAGCAAGTTGCACTGAGCTTTCAGAAGTGTTCAGCCAAAATGAGCTCACTCTTCTGTTAATAGACATTTCATAGAAGACACCCAATTCAGCAGGGTCAGAATCAGGGCAATGCCTCGCTGCATTTGAGCAAATGTGTTACCATTTTCAGTTCCTTTCTGCATTTCAGAGTGTTTCAAAAATAGTAATTTTAGTTAACGAGCAAGCCACAAACAAGCACTTGTGCCCACCTGCCCATTTCCTTATGTAAAAGATGTTGCTTGAGAAACACTTCGAGAAAAAATAACCTCACTAAGAAAATTTAAAAAAAAAATTAAAATATTGCATGTATCTTCTTTGGTGCTTTCTTGAGATAAAATGTGTCTTAATATTTTTTCCAGACATTCGGGACAGTGGGGGACCTAAGCCTGTGATGGTGTATATTCACGGAGGGTCCTACATGGAAGGCACTGGAAATTTATATGATGGCAGTGTTCTAGCAAGTTATGGGAATGTGATAGTCATCACAGTCAACTATCGCCTTGGGGTACTTGGTAAGAAGCTTTCAGCTTTCCACTAATCCCTGCTATCTGCAATGCAATTCATATTATATGTGAGAATGCACTTTAAAAAAGGCAGAAGAGAGACGAGAAGTATTTTTAAATTTTCTTTGTCAAATATAAGGTTTGTATGCTGGGGATGAGATATAAAGACATTGCAGGTATTTTCTGGAAGAGCCTGCTGTCATGCTGCATGAAACAGATATTCCCATTGCTGAGCTGTCCAGGCTGAAGAGTTTCTCTCTTTTTAATTTTCCTTTTTTTTTTTTTTTTGTTTTGTTTTGTTTTGTTTCTGTGAATAACACTGATGCTTTAATTCATAGATGGGTAAATTAATTTTTTAAAATCTTTTAAGCCATAGAGGGTAGGGTTTTCTATTGGAATGAAAGAGACTAACTTTTAATTACCGTGATTTTTTCATGCTTTGAAAAATTGAAGAATGTTATGAAAACATCTTTTTGCCTATTTTGAACTTCATTGTGGTTTTGAGGAGTGGTATGGGTGTCATTCAAGTACGTCCAGTATTTCTTTCCAGATAATGAATTAGAGAATCAAAGAGTTACTTTTATTGTTTCAAATACATTCCATAGAATGTAGTCATGCTGTTGGTGGGTGGTCTTCCCCTGGTACCTTGTATTTATGAAAAAAAAAAATTACTCTGCTATTTTCTCAGAATAGTCACATACAAGTCCATCAGCTCTTGAGACAATATGATTGGCAGGGGATTCTTCTGCATACTCTACCAAACTATTGCATGCTAAGACTCCTGACAGCAGGGATTGGGTCCTGGGATATAATGGAGATCAGAACAGTAACTTCAGAATACTTCCATAGGTGTGAGGGTATTCCCTGTAACATCTGTAACAGCAGTAAATTTATTCTGAAGACCAGTCAATTTTATTTTCAAGTGTCTGCTACTCTGCTTTACTTTTGGGTTGTTGGTTTTTGTCATTGCCCTGTTCTTGGTGTTTTGAATTTGGTTAACTCAGTCCCCAAGTGCATTGGCTCTGCTTTGCTCATCTGGGTAATTTTCTTCCAACAGTTTAATTGTTGTTAAAAATTTGACATTCTAATTTCAAGGGGAAGGAATGGATTTTAACTTTAGATTTTGAATTTAGTCTGCTGTGATTGTGTTTTACAAGGGACTGAATAATTTCCAGAGAGATCATAACTATTATTGACTGGATTTATTTCCTTGGTACTGGAGGTTTCATTTGTGATGTAACACTTTTAGTAAATTTTGGTATTTTGTATGGTTTTCTTCCTCCTGTTTTCTAATTATGTGATGACTTAAAGTCCTGGACACATATTAGTACAGAAGTTAATAATCTGATACCTTTGCCTCTGATCAACATTTCAGTTTTGTACCAGTGCCTGTCTTTGATGTCTCAAACAATATTTCTCTGTGTTATATGCCAGTATAAAAGAGTGTATCTATTATCTGAAAGGGTTGTTTATTTTTGTATATTATTTAGTCTGATTCCTAAGTCATTAGTAATTGAAGTGTTTAAAAGGGGTAGTTTCTTGAAAGATGAAAATTAATATATCTTTGTTGATGATGGTTTTTGCACTTGTAAATTAACACTGATCACTGAGGTAACCCACAGTTAACATCTCATCAGCTTAGGAGGATTTCATTTTTGTTCATTGTGATTCTTTGGGTTTCATGGTCTTTACTGAGCCTCAAGGGTCAAAGAGCTGATTTTATTTTAAGTGGGACCTATTACAGTAAAACCTCTGAAATTCACAGCAGAATCCAGTGATTGGTGTGAATACTTGATAGGATGTTCTGCAAACCCCACAAAAAGTGTGCCGGGTTTTCTCAGCAAAACCAATGCTGTTTATGTAGAAGTCATACATACACATCTACTGTATTTGCTGCAATGCCTGTCATGTATTACATAAAAAATGATGATGTATGATTAAATAGGTAGTGGAGAAACAGTGCAACAATCAGAAAAGAAAGTCTGAGCAGTTTAAATTTTTCCTGCTTTTCCTTGTTTTCTGTTCTACAGATACCATCAGAGTAGGACTGTGCAGAATCATAGTAGATATCAGCTTTTAACTTTTTGATATTTTGAAATTCCTGTTCCTCCTTGTTCCAGCAGAATGTTCCCTTTGCAGTCACATTAAGGTATGGATTTACAAAAGCATAGGGAAAAAATTCTCAGCTTCCCTTTCCTGATCCTATCCCACAAGGAGAGTCCAGCTCCACTGACTGGTGCCTGTGGGATACCTGGATATTCCTTCATCACTGTGTGAAATAGCTGGCTTTACAGGCAGAAGGAAAATTTAAGGAATTATTAATCACATGAGAAGACGTAGGGATGAAATAAGGTCTGTCCTCTCCCTTTCATATGACCTTTGTTGATCTGGTTTCTTGTATCAGAATTTTGTGGATGGATATTCTTATACAGGTGATCTCTGTGAGTCATCCGCCATCATTTCACCAAGATATTGACTTTTCTTAAACAAATAAACTGATAAATCATTATTATTCAATAAATGTTTAGAGCTGAAATAGTAACATCTTCTTCCAGACCAATTGTGATGGGACTGGGGATGTGTTTTGATATTAGGTTCCTCACAGTACTTCTATTAAGTCCACAGCAGACAGCTTTTGATGCAGTTCAGATTAATTTCCTGTTTATTCTAAAAGATCCCTTGTTTTATGGACTAATCTCCTTGAGGAGCTGCGTTTTTTTGAGATGTAAAGATTTACTTTTAAATAAGTTAGAAAATGCTTAAAAGTGAAATCCGTTTGGTGAAGAGAAAACAAAGAATTAAAAAATTATGGAGCAAGTGCCCCTAAAATAAAAATAAAAACAAAGGCCAAACACTAACCAAACAATCTAACAAAAACCCAAAGCCCTGGTGAGTCCCCTGGCCCAATTTTGTCTTAGAAACAAGTCTGAGGATGAAAGTCTGTTACAAACTGTCCTTAGATAAAGATGATGGAAAAGAGAACTGCTTGTCCTGGGAAATTAGGGACTACTGAATAAGAAGCCATTGGAAACCACTATGTCTTCTTTAGATTCTTTCTGAGTGCAAGTCTTGTGCAAGCAATTTCACCAAGAAGGAACACTGCAGAAGCAGTCTAACAGCCTTGAAGGACAGTGCAGATATATCTTTATGGCTTCTTTTTGGGAAAGCACACATATGAAGACAAATTTGGTTTTTAAACTCAGCTGATAGGAGATATCAAATGTTGACTCAATATATATCCACCTGGTAAAAAGCAGGAGCATTTTATTTAATTTTCATTAAGAAGATGGAAAAGATTTATAAAGGAGTCTATTCAACATCCAGAAAAGATCATGATGGACAGATTTAATACTGCCAGTGCTGTTTTCTGTGTTTTTTCTTATGAAAGGTTTATTTACAGAAGGAGAATGCTTTGGGTCACCACTGGCTACTACTGCTTTCAATTTCAATTGTGGAGAGAAAGGAGAGAGCTGGTTTATGCTAACTGGGAATTTGTTTCTTCATTTTATTAATTTATACTCTTTGTTCTTTGTTATCTTTAAGCCACAGGACTTTAATAGAACTTTAATAGAAAAAAAGAATTTGTACTGAAGCTCACAAACTGAACAGGGGGAAGGAATAATGGCTTAGAGAAATCTCTAGTTTGAGCACTGCTTTAAATTTCTCATTTTTTCCTCTTTAAGAAGCAGTGGTTGTCCCTACAGAAACAGTAAATTGTCATTCCAAGGGTCTGGATCAAAGGTAATAAATAAAAAGGAAAAATGGTCTGTATTTTGTATTTTCTGCTAGGCATTCACAATGTCTGCCTTGGGAAGGCAAACATCCTAAACTTTTAGACCAAAATTCATGTTCAAATGGTAGCACACCCATGAGTCAGATTGTCCTCATTATACATTCTTTAATTATACGAAATTTTCCCTGTTGAGGGGGGGTATAGGAACCATTACTGTCATTTAGCCTTGCATTTATACTGTCACCCTCTAGTTTGAGAGTATTGTCTGGGATTACTGAATAGAAAATACTTATCCAGGTGTTCCACCACTTCAATTTTTTTTTTTTTTTCCAGTTGGTACTTTTAATGCTGCAAGTAAAGTCACTGCAGCAGACTGAAAGCTCTGATAGCATTACTCAGTACATTATTTCCCAAATAACTGCACTGAAATCACTGGGGCTCCTCAGTGCAGGGCATCCCCTTGTGACAGAGCCTGGCTGCCCATAATTTGAAGTGATGTGATGAACGAGGGCACTGGAAAGGTATTTGCTCCTCCTGCACAGAACTGCTTCTGAGGAGAGCTGTTCTTAGAATTCTGTTGTGTTTTCCAGCCCAAAATTCTATTTTTTAGTAGTGTGTTGTGTGAGCCAGCTGTGCTGGGCAGCATTCAGGCCAAATAAAACACACATTAGTGACGGAAAACAGAACAAAGAGAAAAACACTGCCACAAAAGCCCTTTCTTAACTTTTTTTAGCGACTGTTGGAGCTTTATGGATAAATTAGTGACAGAGGATGAGTCTTATTCTGCCATAAAATGTTTTGTTGCTACATGTCTGGATACATGAGGAAAATACCTCAGGTCTGAACATCCATTTGCTGCTGTGCAGCTGCAACCTCTTATTGGCCAAAGAGGTGCATGAAATACAAGGACACAGCCCTGCAGTAAGTGCTGGGCAGCCTCTGCCAAGCCCAGAATTTCTGCCCTCATCCATCCTGCTCTCAGCAAAGAGCTGCACGTTCCCAACAGGCCAGAAAAATAAGGCACAACCTTTCCTTTATGAGCAAGTTTATGTGCAGCAGTACTATGGCAATTCCAGGATGCAGCCTGGTGGACCTTTCATGGCATGAAGAATTATCAGCTGACCATTTGCAGGTCACAGAGATGAGAATATATGATAATGAAAGCTACTTCAGTGCAACTTGGAAATACCTGCTTATTTCAGGAGTCTAATTCCATTGGGATTGACTGGAAGGTACTGTTTTGTTTTGTTTTGTTTTAATACTTTTATCTTCTTAA